TATACAGGGTGTCCCGAAGTCCCATGATGACCCTTGGTGAGAACGTAGAACGGATTGAGGTGAGCAAGAAAGTCCTGTGCCGTTTTGCGATATTCGCAATAGTTTTTGAGAAATTAATTATTTTGCGAGTCTATGTCTCGTAGCTATGGGCAGAGGGATGCGGCGAGATACGATTCGCGAGTGTCACGGTCGCACGTCGGCCGAAGGCATCTTTCTTTCCGCTGCCGCTTTCTGTACGCTGATTTGTTGAGACAAAAAAATTAATTTCTCAAAAACTATTGCGAATATCGCAAAACGGCACAGGACTTTCTTGCTCACCTCAAACTGTTCTACGTTCTCACCAAGGGTCATCATGGGACTTCGGGACACCCTGTATATATATATATATATATATGTGTATATATATATATATATATATATATATATATATATATATATTATATACACACAGGGTGTCGGAAACCTTTCTTGGCACAAGTCGTAGGAACGTAGAACGGATTAAAAGGAACAGAAAAGTCAAATACCATTTTGCGAAATTCGTAATAATTTTCAAGGAATTAATTATTTTGTCTGAACAAATAAGCTCTCGAGCCAGCGCGTGAATAACGGCGCGCAATCATGATACGCGCGAATCGCGATTCGCTGCGTCCCTTCGCCCATAGCTACGATGTGTTTCGTAGCTATAGTTACCATACTTACAAGATATAGCGTAGCTATGGGCGGAGGGACGCAGCGAGCGGCGATTCGCTTGTATCACGGTTGCGCGCCAGCCCAAGCACTAATTTGCTGAAACAAAATAATTAATTACTCGAAAACTATTGCGAATTTCGCAAAATGGTATGTGACTTTTCTGTTCCGTTTAATCCGTTCTACTTTCCTACGAATTGTTTCAAGAAAAGTTTTGGACACCCTGTATATATAGGGTGTCTGACTCGTACCATACCAGAGCTAGCATATAGCTAGAATAGGTCGGGGTGAATAATAGAATCGGTGTCTTTTTTAACAACAAGAAAAACGTGTTTCCAGGAGGCTGACCCGGCTAGCCTGTCATGCCGATGTTACATCGCGTACAGCGTTCGTTTCACCGCAGTACACGTGCTGATTGGCTAGTGGGCTCCCGCTCGATAGAAATCTTTTATAGTTAATAGCTCAAAATTTTACGTGGTTGTTTAAAAAAAGACACCGATTCTATTATTCACCTCGAGCTATTCTAGCTATATGTTAGCTCTGGTACGGTACGAGTCAGACATCCTGTGTATATGTGTGTGTGTGTATATAATACTAATAATATCTATATTAATAAATATTATTTCCAGACAGCACGCAATATTTATAAAATTTTAGAAATATAGATATTAAATATTTTATAAATATTCAAATGTCCGAGATTTTCAGGTATGAAAAGGATTATAATAAATATTTAAAAATATTTATAAAAAACATTTTTTATAAATACTTTTATAAAAAAGATTAAAATTTATGAAAGATTTATGATAAATATTTTTCATAAATATTTTTAAATATTTATCATAATCTTTTTCATACTTGAAAATCTTGGACATTAGAATATTTATAAATTATTTAATATCTATATTTCTACTAATATTTTGTGAATATTGTGTGTTGTCTGGGATTTATAATTTAGACGTTTCACCGTATATAGCAATTGCTACAGTTCATGATTTATGTCTATGAATCCATCAATCGTGTAATACAAATACCTGCTTTGGTGCAATTACGAGTGATATCAATATTCTCATAATGCTATTACAATGTATATGTTGCAAAAAAATTTAATAAATCTCTACACCCCTGCTTTAATCCTTTCTCTTGTACTCCGTATTATATCCCAGTCAACACAAATTCGTTCCTGGAATATCTTCCGATTTTCCAGTAGGAAGATTTGAATATTCATAGAAAGTTCTTTTAAGAAGATAAATATTCTGAGAATATTCTTATGTTTTTAAATAGACACTATCTTAAATATTTTAATAATATTCTTCGGGAATATTCTCACATATATTCATAGAATATTCTATGTATGATTTAATTTTCGATCGAGGAATATTCTACATCGGGAAAAAAGATTGTTAGAAAAATTGTTAAATAAAAAGAAAAATTTTTAATCCTAGAATATTTGTTGTGATTGCTAATGTGACTCTAGTTATTGCAATCTTTTTATAATGGTGTGCCATTTAATTAATTCCATTTATAATTTGCTTGGAAAAAATCGCTGACTCCAGTGAGAGACTCGAACCTGAGACATTTGTAGTTCTTGAAGAACTCGCCTTACCTACTAAGCCACTGCTATTAACTGATGAGAACGACTATTATAATGGTACATGTGCCGTTCGCTTGGAGCGCTTATTCGCTTTCGAAGTATTCTTTATTAATGTACCGAATTTAGTATAGAGTGAAAATTTTTAATTAGCTTCAAACTTTTCAATATATGAAAGTGGGTGTATCCCGTACCACATATGCTTACAAGATTATTTTCCGAATATTTGAATATACAAGGTTTCTTGAATATTTGAAAAGTCATTTTCGTCGAATATTCCATAAAACGCACATAATATTATTCAATTATAAATATTCTAGGTTGAATTACAGAGAAGATTCATATTCCTATAATGAGATATTGAAATATTTATTTCATAATATTCGTATAAGAAGATTTATAGGTCTTTCCACGAATATTATGTGCTGGCTGGGTATATAAGATTATTTTTTGAATATTCCAATATATAAGATTTTTGAATATTTCAGAAATCACATTCGGATAATATACCATACAGAATATATAATATTATTCAATTACGAATATTCCAAGTACCATTACAGAGAAGATTCATATTTCTATAACAATATTAGAATATTTATTTCAGAATATTCCTCTAGGACGATTTATAGCATTTTCCGGAATATTCTGGGATATAATCTGTGTTGGCTGGGATTGTAAATTGACACTGTAATATAAAAAAGTCAGTTTTAGTAAAAACGACATATAGCGAGAGAAATACACGTGTTAAGGCACTTATGCGATGTATAGCGTTTGAACCAACTCAACATGCAATTATATCTATGTGTCCAATTTTGCTTTCATGGTCGTCGATAATTGTACGGTTTTCCATAAGGCCCTATTCTTTTATTCAACTTATCAAACCTCAATTGCTGGAAATAACTGTACACCACCAACCACATGTATGTGTATACCACTGCAAAAAGTTAAAACAGTATTACGCATTTTGATATGCATATGTTCTAGATCAGAGCTCGGAACAGTTTGCCAATTTCGGCCGATTCTCGGGAGCTACGCCTTCTATCTCTCCCTTGCCGCGCGGCGGGCCTCAAAAGTGATGGTTACAACCAGTCGCGGCTCCAAGTTTAGAGGCACGTCACTTTCTAGGCCCGCCGCGCGGCAAGGAGGAGATAGAAGGCGTAGAATAGGCCGAAATTGGCAAACTGTTCCGAGCTCTGTTGAGACCGGAAATCTCTGCTGAGATAGCACAAAACGTTCCAAAATCATTCTGGATATATACAGGATATCTAAGAAAGTGGCTCTCGGAATGTCCTAAGTATATTTATGGTGATCTCAGGACGTTTTGTGCAATCAGGAATTTTTATTAATATTAGAAAGAATAATTTTAATATCTATTAATTCTTACATGACTATATATACATAGTTTATTATTAATATTAATTTCTTATTTAAAAGAAACAAAGCATTGTCGAGGAAATCGTTTTTCGGACAAAATATATCCGAATAGACTTTAAAATAGATCTTTTGAAGAAAAAAACAGGGTAATTATGTAGAATAAGGACTTTTCCGAATTTTGATATTTATTTTGCTGCAATCTTGATAAATATCTTTGTTGTTATTCCAACAGTAATCAAATGGAGGAGCCTGAAAAATATATAAACTATCTATGTTTTTAACTATTTTTTCTAACATATACCTGTACGTAGAATATCGTATCTCTTAAAGTTTAACACTGAAATTGCAACAAAATACTGAAAAGATTAGAACATTTATTTATTAGTAACAAACACTACTTTATTGGTAATATAAAAAAATAATTTTTACAAAAATAAACATTGAATTTTTGTTTAAATTGGAGACCGGGTCTTCAAATTGTACATTGAGTTTTTAAATCGTATTTCAAAGATATGCAGTCATAAACAATAAAAAAGTATTAATTAATTATTAATTAATCCTATATTACATTAATATAACAATAAAACAAAATAAAAATAAAAGTACGCAAGTAATGTTACTAGTGTCATCTATTTTGCTACATAACAAATATTGCTTTAACAACATGTTTCAACAACATTTTTAACTGATTTTAACCGATTAATTTTTTTATCATGAATCATGCCTGTTTTATTTGTCACCGCGGTTTCGTTATCGAGCGCAATGATTTAAAAAATCTGAAGGTTTTAGCCGTCGCTCGTTGTTTGTTAAAAATTGTTTATTAACAAAAAAAGTTGTATGAATATAACGTAATTTTTCAAGACAGTTCTATAAAATATACACATATTCCTTTCACTTTTGTGAGAAATTTTCACTCTTTAGCTTAAGTACAACAGATTTGGCCCCCCTCCCGCCGCGAGAGGTCTGGGAGGCGAAGCCCCTCAGTTACACGGCTAGAGACAGGCATCTTTTTTATTAATATCTCGGAAAGTATAAGCGACCACCATAGTTATGTTTATATTATTGAAATAAGGTAAACAATAAAAAAGGTGTCTGTTCTTAGACGTGTAACTGGGGGGCTATACCCCCAAGTTCCCCTGCACCATGGCGGGAGAAGGGGCGCAAGTACTTTAGCTAAAGTTACTTAACTTAAAGTTTAATGATCACAAATTGAAATGAAAGTGCCACAAACCTCGAAAAGCTACGTAGGAAAAAATAATTAAAAATATTGAAAGGTTACGTACTTTTCGGCTTCCCCACTTGATTATCAATGTTGGAATAACAACAAAGATATTTATTAAGATTGCAGCAAAAAAATATCAAAATTCGGAAAAATCCTTATTCTACCTTATAATTACCGAAAACAGAATTTAATAAAAATATTAATTAAATTTTACAGTTGCATTGAATACAATATAGAATAATATGAAATAACTTACCGACAGCTATTAGACCGAATACCAACCAAAGAACGCCGTTGAGGACTTCGTGATTTACGAAGAACATGATTGATGTGTAAAGAACACTCACAAAAAGAGCGACAGCTAACATAATGCCTAGGACTACCCATGGAAGCATCATAAATGTATTTTTCTGTAAATTTAAGTTAATTTAGTGTATTTTTCGTTATTATTACTCATTCAATTAGGACTATGTTTGTACGTAAAAATAATTTCAGATACACGTATATATCAATACATATACACATCAATGATATACGGAGCGTTAATAAATTCGCGCTCACATAACACTATTTTTTATTACAATTAAGGAGAGATTAAAATTAGAGTCGAAAAGACTTATAACTATTTTTTTCGCAGAGTTTAATGAAGTACGCTGAGAAAAGAATACTTGAACATTTATTAGTGGGATATAAAATTTATTTACAGAGATAAACATTATATCCAACAAATGATTTAATTTATTAATAGTTTAACGGTTTCTAATTCTGGTTTTAATAAACTATAAAGAATGTAAAAAAAGAGCTTTAATAAAGAATGTAATTAATAGCAGTTTACCAATATTTTATATAAAATATATAAAATTTATGCGTTTTTTCTTATCCTAGGCCATAAATTTTTTTATTAAACTAAAATCATTTCTTTTGCAAAGATAATTTTTAATGCTTAATCTTAATGCTTAGTTAATGCTTAGTTTAATGCTTTTGCTGTCCGGACATGTCCTTATAATATTTTATTGTCGCATTTACAAACCCAGACAGCACACAATCTTTACAAAATATTTTAGAAATATAGATATTAAATATTTTATATGTATTGTAATGTCCGAGATTTTCAGGTAACACAAAATATTTTAGAAATATAGATATTAAATATTTTATATATATTGTAATGTCCGAGATTTTCAGGAAAAAGATTATGATAAATATTTAAAAATATTTATGAAAAATATTTATCATAAATCTTTCATAAATCATAAACTTTTTCATAAAAATATTTGCGAAAAATGTTTTTCATAGATATTTTTAAATATTTATTATAATCTTTTTTATACCTGTGAAAATCTCGGACATTTGAATATTTATAAAATATTTAATATCTATATTTTTAAAATATTTTGTAAATATTGTGTATTGGGAAATACTTCCTTACCCTCACAGCGCCAATTATTAGCAGCAAAGAGATTAAAATAGTCATGCAGAGATTGATGGCGAAAATAATTTTTACGGCTGTTTTGTCTAGGATATCGATTATTATTGTTTTCCATTCTACATTCACTGTGAAGATCAAGATTAGGGAAATCACGGCGAGTACCTGTATAAAACATCCAATTGTATTATTTGTATTTATTGTATTGTACAATATGTATTAATCGATATGAATAACCAAATACACTAAAGCGAAACATTCAGAAACAGAAGAACTTACGATTCCACATACTCCGCTGAATATTGTTCCCGTCTTTAAGGAACAGCATCTACAACACGTTGTCAATTGCATTCTAAAACAGAGAAAACATGAAAGATTACTTTCTTTAAATAATCAACTATGTTTCATTACTCATTTACGGTAGTGATATATTTTTTTTAGGTGAAGAGAATCACCTATAAAGACCTATAAAGATATTTACGTGACATGTTCTAAACGCAAGATCGAGTCTATCAATCATCTGGTATCTGTGTAGAATTATTTCTACACTTTTTGCATTCTGTATTTTTATTAATTTTGTTACTTTCTATTATATTTACGTCACTTCGTAAATCCCAATTCAGTAACTTAAAACAGTTGTCTTCTAACATTATCATCGACAAATTTAGTTGTATAACAACTAAATATCAATACACACGTGAAATATACGTAAATACGCTCGCGCATATGTTTGTACACACATATGTTTGTATACAGGGTGTCCTATTTTAAAAGATGCTGATAATTCTATAGTCAAACATCTTCAGCAGAAATGTTTCAAATAAAAGTTGTCAGGTTTAGAGGGGGACATCTGAAAGTGACCTTGACTTTGACTTTGGAGGTCATTTTAAAGGTTATTCGAAAGTCAACTTTGCTTTTTAAATAGAAACATCTATTTTTTATTAGGAAATTTTATTCTACGTAAAGAAACTAACAACTTTTATTTGAAAAAAATTTTTATACGATTTCTACGTTCTAAGATATTTACGGAAATATCTACAAAATTATTGGTTTGAATAATTTTTTACTAGAATTTTATCAACTTTACCGAAAAATAGCAAGAGATAAAAATTGTTTATTTTCTTCTCATAGAATTCTGAGAATTTTTTTAGAATTTTTTATAAGCTTTTTAGTACTTCAAAAAAATGCAAGAAAATGCAGTACTAAAAAGTTAATTAAAAAATTCTGAAAAAATTCTCAGAGCTCTATGAGAAAAAAATGAACTTTTTTATCTTTTGATATTTTTCAGTAAATTGAAGATAGTTGATAGAATTCGAGTAAAAAGTTATTGAAACCAATAATTTTGTAGATATTTCCGTAAATATCTTAGAAAATAGAAACTGTATAAAAATTTTTTTCAAACAAAAGTTGTTAGATTCTTTACGTAGAATAAAATTCCGTAATAAAAAATAGATATTTCTATTTAAAAAGCAAAATTGACCTTCGAATAATCTTCAAAATTACTTCCAAGGTTAAAGTCAAGGTCATCTTCAGATGTTTCCCTCTGAACCCGACAACTTTTGTATGAAACATTTTTGCTGAATATGCTTGGCTGAAAAATTATCAAGGCGCATCTTTTAAAATAGGCATCTGTATATATATATATTTTTGGTGATTAAATAATAAATCTGGGTTAATAAAAAAATGTTATATTTAATATCAAGTCATTTTACTCAAAATACATTTCTTTAGTTTTAATACAAGTGGCAGAGTCAATCAACGGCTAAAATATCTTGTATTGAATAGGTTTTTTAAGTTTTAATAAAGAATACTATGTAATTAACAATTTAGTAAACATCCTGTGAAAAGTGTAGGTGTCGATAAAAATTCGGTTAAGTATCGCATTGCGTTATCGTCGCGTGTATTGTTGCAATTGCAAATCTAATATCTATTAATTTATCTATCTCGTCGTGTTTATGTGCGAGGAAAATTGGCTAAAGGATAATAATGAAATTAAAAATAAATTCGTATAAGGTCGTATACACGCTTCCATGACGGTTAGTGGTCGAGAAAATTCGTTTAAGGTCTTCCTTCCGTTATAAGGAAGCGCAATGTACACGGTTCTCCATCTGTCTTCCGAACTCTCTCGTTCGCTTCGTAGAGCACTATCACGTCACCGCAATAGAAGATCGGCCGATTAAGATCACCTTGCGATTCACTAAATCGGAGAATGTACTTGACCAACACGTTGGAAGCGGTGTATGTGTTTCAAAGATGGTCCTTGACGCCTTGATTATCTTCATCCATGACGTCAGAAAGGTGGAAGGTCAAGAAATGTTTCTTACATTTTTCATGTATACTAATTATCTTTTAAAATTCAAGGTAGTAAGGCAGATAGGAAAAGGGGGAGAGAAGGAAATAAAGAGAAATGCGTCAGTAGTTTAATCGATGTGAAGCATTAAGTGAGAACGCAAAATGATCGAATCGTAAAAACTGTATGCTAGATTAGTAGCTAAGAGTTACGCGACGTATTTTATAATTTCAATAATCGCGCACTTTACAAACCGGTTTCGCGTTGACAGAAAGATTGCTTTACACGAGAATATTTTGCATAAATTCCCTCACTCCTGATATTATAATCGGTGACGGAGATTAAGATAAGTATTAACGATCTTTGACATTCTGTTACGAGAAAGATACTTCTGGAATGTTTTGAAAAAATATTTAGTAGGATTTACTCTATATAATGTATAGAAACTAAAAACCTATAAATTATAATTATAATACGTGCAGGAGAATATAGTTATCTTCTTTTAACAGAGAATAGTTGTTACTTGTAGATGCATATTGCGGAAGAGCGTACGATTCTGAAACGCACGATTCTATCCAGCTCTCGCGCGGGAAGGGATTACATCATCGCCACAAGAGATCATTGTAAAGCTCGATCGTTAATCATTTTCAAGAGAATGAATATTTTAAAGGTAAGTATTATAGTCTACTTTCAGCACTCGCTGAAAATGAATATCATGCGTCATGATAACTTCTTAAAATCATTGTTTCCTCTTTCTTTACAAAGATGTATACAATAACTATACTTCAGGTAAATTATATTAGACGATATTATCATACATTAAATACAACTTTGTATATATACATACAGATAAATTGTTAACTAATAATCTAACAAATGTATTTATATTAATAAAATGTTAGTCGTAAGTATTTATGTTTTCAATACTCTTATGCACGCATTAAAATTTGTGTAAGTTTAGTAAATTTTATTTCATTTTAGAATAGCAATATTGTAAGTTACTCGTAACGTTGATCTCGTTTATATTTTCAAATAAGAAATGCGATAAGATATATAAGTATTGAATGACGCTAAACATCTGCCACGCTTGCAGTATACACCTTGTAGGTGCTAAGTGCGATTATCGAAATAAGAAAATATTTTTGCGGAAAATAGCGTCGCGATTGACGCGCATGCGATACACGCGTTGCACACGGAATTAATGTTAAATTTAGCCGGTGAGTAAGCGACTCGTGAAAAACGCTGGTTAAAAATATACAATACTACTCGATAGGAATGGGGGGAGGCCGTCAAATGGAGCAAGATCAGTTCTCTTGACCTAGATATGTCGATTGATCGTGAACGTAAAGAAAGGGACGCCGCCCTGTAGAGATATTTTGCGTGCGGTTTGATATTCAATTAATACAAGAAATAGAATGTGACCTAAGAAGTATAACAACGAAGAAAATTATTATCCTTCGGTAATCTAAAGTAAACTCCTAAAGATTCTAGTATTGATCGACAATCTCATCTGTTCTGTACGAAAGTGACTTTACTTTCCGAGTTCTCCAGCTATTGCTTTACAGTTTTTTCCCTTTTTAAACCGATTCTTAATTTGTCTTTTACTTTCATTAATTTTTATTGAAATGACATATTTTATTTTACTAATAAAAATACATATTAATTTTATTAATAAACGGCAGTTTATAAATATAAAATAATGTTTAACTAATTTTGCATTTCTATAATTAATTAACGCTTTACGATTGTTTATATGTACATAACATATATATAACGTGTACATTTACGTGTATATAAATCTTAATACAATTACAGAATTTTTTATATAAAATGCGTGTCACTTGTGCGTCATTTAAATTATTTATTATACAAAATTTATTTATTCATTTTTGCTTGATTATATTTGCTTCATTTAAGATTTATAACATGATCGAGTCAGACGTATTAATTATGATGCTTATATGTGTATAAATATATAGACAAATTAAATTATTTTTCTATATATTATAGAGGGAAAGGTTCTAAGTCAGTTCTCTTTTTCATCAGTTATACTATAATTTATTGTAATTTATAAAAATAAAATTGTCAACTTGCGTCAGCGTTTATACATGCAAAGGATGTTAATGCCATGCGATTTTCAAGTATATACTAAATATATAATCGCGATACACGTGCCAAGTTGCATACACACTAAGTTTCAATAATGCCTCTATCCACTAGTTAAATCTAGAATCATTCTTAACTTTGCTAACACAAATTAAAATTCACAATGACAGATCTGTTTTGAGACATTTCGACGCTTTCTTGAATAATCAACGGTCTTGATGTGTGAATATCTAAATATGGTGGGTATAGTTGGAAATTTCTAATAATTAATTAATTAATTATTTTTATTTTTATTATTATTAATAGGCCATTCAGAATATATGTTTAGAAATAGTCCAACGTTTATCTCAACGTATAATTGAGCACATCTAATTAAACAGCTACTAGAATCTTTTGTAAAATTCTTTGTCAGAGTTTATCAGTAGGTAAATCGCGTGTACTATCTCTAAAATTTCATTACAGATTGTAACAATAAAAATTTCTTAATAATAATTAAAGTAATTAACTGTTGTCTAATTGTCTGTAGCATATACACATAAATTCAGAAAACAAAGTTAGCTAACCACTAAAACTCCATATAGAAAATCTGTCGATAATAGATGAACAGATTCATTCTAACAAACGAACGATCTTTATACTCGCGTATGTAATATTACGGGCCTGAGCGCGCGAAATCTGCACGACGCCAGAAAACTCGGCTTTAGTCGTTTATATATAAGGAATTATGAGGTGACCATGACATTTTTGTGCTAGAATTTTTAATTTATATTGACCTTTGGAACATTTAAATATATTTTACTTAGATAAAATTTTAATTTTCTTTGCAGCAAAAGTGCACTATTTTAGAGATTGAATTATAGAAATTTAAAAAATAAGTAAGTGAAAAAAAATTATTTTCCACTACATTTTTGTTAAGAAAAAATCACCCACAAATTGCCCAGAAAATCTGCTATTACAAAATAATTCGATAGAAGCAAAACATTCTGTATATAGACACGCGTACGCGTGGGTGTGTGTCATAATATGTGGTAAATAATACAAACAGCACATAAACATATATCCATATCACCTGTAAAGTGGGCTGTCACGATGATTGCAAACTATTATAGCACTGCAATGCAAATAAAAGGCGGTGAAGTAACGATCGATTACATCATTATTTGAATCACCTTGTGCGCGAGTTACCGTTTCCACTCTGCCACTTTTGTCACCGACAACTTTATAGCCTTCACTTTGGATTAATTATTCAATAGAGAGAATACACTTTTTATGTCGCGCCGTGCACAATATTCAGTCTCGCAATTTCGCGCGACGACGAACAACCTGCTTAAATGTCACCGAATGTCGCGCCTCTATACTCACTTCTTTTCGGAGTGCGATTCTTTTTTCACTCGAAAGATATCGATGGCGCAGGTGCCAGACGTGCGACGACGGCCGAGAAATAGAAAACGGACGCGGATGTGCAGGGCGAACGGAATGAAGAGGAGAGACGCGGGAGAACCGCACGCAGGTCCAGCGTACGAAGTATCGCGCGTTCCGCTCGCAATAGGAGATGACCAGAAACTGTGCCAAGAACAGTACGCGACCGCGCCAAACCTCGACGGTATATACACCTACATCTACACCTACACCCACACCGGTGTCTGACCAACACCAGGAAGGTCAGTCGCGTGTGTAGTATGTCGTGTGTGCGCTACCGCGGCTTATGCGAATGGCATATATTGCGCGCGACTTGCGATGCGAGATGCGAGGAGACGCGGAACGCGGAACGCGGCGAAGAGAGCGAGCCTTTCAAAGTGCGCGCGGCTGTGCATCTTGTATGAATCTCCTACGTAAAATCTGCTCGTGTGTAGATTCTCAATAAGCCCAGCGACAAGAAAAGATAACCCTCGTCCGACGACTTCGTATTTGACCTGCATCCGTTGCGCGTTTCATCTTAGTGGGAAAGCCGCATATTGCGTTAGAATTGCACGATCTTTCTTGCATTGCGTCTAGACATTCGCTCGCAGTTCGATATACAGTCTTTAACTCTAAACACTGGAACAAGGAGTGAGGGAAATCTCTACTTCGTTAATTGGATCGTGTAATTTTTTTCGTAATAGTACATACCTATCGGGCTGGCTACGTTCTTGTTTTCTTTTAGAAAAAATAGACTTCGTAATTATTATGTCACATACATACGCACATACACACAACACACACACACACAACACACACACAACGTGATATGAATGATTTTGAAAAGAAAGGATAGGAAAGATAATAAATTGGTATAAATAGAGTTTTTCTTTCTATTTACTATATTTTTGTTAGAGACATATATTTTTACTATATTTTTATTAGAGACATATATATATATATATATATATATATATATATATATATATATATATATATGACGTTGACATACTTTCTATGCAGAAATAAAGAAAATGAAACGTCGGAATTTTATACATCTATCGATAGCGGACGATCCGTGGTTGTTCTGTTTACTTAACCTGAGGTTAAGTAAACTATATTTCTAATCAAATTTTTAACATTTAATTGCAAAAATTCAAAGTTAGAGCACTTGTGTATTGAGAATGATCGTGAAAACGAATAAACTCAATGATGAATTGGTTCCAAAGATCTGGGTACATGACGTTTGGTTTCATCAGAAAAACGTCTCAACTGCAGATATTATTAATAAATGCCGTAAGCTTATTAAATCTAGTAAGTGTCTTGATATATTGCTTATTACAGTTTATTACTATAGATTTAAGATAGATAAATCATTATTAAAAGTACTTAAATTTTCTTGTAATAAAATCTTGTAATAAAATCATAAAGTCGTGTAAAGATGTTATTTAACATTTATTTAACATATTTCAATCATATTTGCGATAAAAATTCGCCGAAATTATATTAAATTAAAAGGATTAAATGATATTAAATTACATGATATAAAATTATATTAAATGCGCACATATTTATAAGGTTTATTTTACTTTTAAACTTATTTTATTTTTATGCACTTATTTTATATTTTTATTTATACATCTATATTAATTTAGACAGTTTAAGCACTAGTTCTGTTTAAATTATAAGTGTATTTCGTTACTTTAACAAGATTGTCAATAACTTCAATTGGGGTTGGCTGAAGGGAGATCTACAGCTCAAGAAAATCTGGGAATTGCCAGTTTTAGAACCTGACAATTCAGATGTGAAAGATATCGACTGGATCAAAACCAGTTTGTATTCTCTGTCTTTATTTCTCTTGATAAAATATCATTTTTGTTATCACACTGATGTATACATATTTCTTTTTTTTTTTAATTATGCGATATTTTGAATATTTTCAGTTCTATCGCAGATCGTCGTGGCTCGTTTTGTCATCAATAGTGTATCTCTCGTTGCACACGTCGCTAATATCTACACAATATTAACACGAGATCGACAGAATTTGCTTATACTTTGGATGGTGCTTAGTTTTGTCAAAGATATCCTACTGGAAATTGTCGTTGTTATCGTTACTTTGATATTGTGGCATAATGGAAGCATCACAACGTCACTTCTTGCTGAGTTTATAATAAAGAAAGTTATACGGCTAGGTAAGCGAATGAAAACAAAGTTAATCTAGGAAAAGAAACAGAGAGATATTTCAGATACTTTTTGTATTATTGTACATACCCAAATAGCACAAAATTTCCAGAGAATGTTCTGGAACATTCTTAGAATGTATGAATGTCTTTAGAATGTCTTTAGAATGTATTTTGAAGATTTGTGCTGTATAGGTATTGAATACACAATAACAACACTCGTATTATTGAAACAAAAGATAATATAATTATCACAGATATATTTTCATCTTTCTTCATTCTGAAGTAATTTTCATTGGCATTTTATATCTCTTGAAATTAAATATGCAATAATATAATAACTAAAAACGAGAATAAATATTATTTGAAGTTATTATTTTAAACCGGTTGTCTCTTCTGTGGGAAAGAAAAAGATATTATCCGTCATTGACGCAAAATATTCTCTCTGCTTATGCGATCAAATAATGAATCTTGCAAAAGTGTTAGTTATTCTAGCAATCTCAATTTGGAAATGGTGCGCAACTCTTAACTGGTACATGCAACTACGAAAAGCGGCGACAATTCGTGAATTTTTTGAGCGGGTCGCACGAAGAAGTAACACGAGTGTTATTGATACTGTCAGAAGGTTCAGGCATTCTTTGGACAATATGAGTCTTGGTATAGCAATTGTTCGACGAGGTAAGTACACAAGTCTGCTGAGTTTGGACGAGCTTTTTGAAAAATCGCCCAATAGAGTGAAGTTCAATAAAGAGTATTGTGATTTGCGAATTTCCAAATCATTGACGACTTTGATCACCAGCGAGAATTACGACGCGAACGGTACAAATGATTATGATTCGATCGTTAATGACCTAAGCGTGGCTGAAAAATCAATGAAGATGCTCGATATAACTGCAGAGGATATAATGGACGCACGTGCTAGAATACAAGAGCGCTCCTATTGGAATAGACGAGATGCAACAGCAAAAATATCTAATCCAGTGGAAAAAATGATGACATATTTTTCTCTTGAAAAAGACGGAGAAGAAACAGAGTATGCTTTCAGGGATAAACAAATCGTGATAGACGATAAAGAAAATAACAAAATAGGCACTGAAGAAGAAAATATCGATGTAACGGAAGACGTCGCTTTAGGAGAGGAAAACGCTACTGCATATTTTCTAATGAAGAAGGAAACAGCGAAACAGAAGATGGATAACAGCGAAACTGTTTTACGGGATAAAAGAAAAGATATTTTTACTGAGAAGCGGAAGGAAGCTGTGAGCCATTTGTTACAGTCTGAAAACGGAAACATTACAAGCGATAAAGTAAAAGATCATGTAACACCAATGACATTACATGATTTTTATACCATATCGAGAGAGAAGAAAGAAGAAGCGCAAAAAATTACGAAAACTATACAATGTTCTTTGAGCCAACATGAAAGGAATATGAATGTTAAAGTATGTCCTTCTCTTGTTAAAGACATGGAAGCAAAATTTTGTTTTATTCCTGTGAGCTGCGAACACAAGTGGATCAGCAAATCTGATCAGAGAAGACACACTTACCGAGTCGAGACGAAGCAAGCCTCACTTACCATAAACGTGGATAGAAAAGAGCATTCTACAAACTCAAAAATGTCATTACCTACGTGTCATTGTGCTTCGAGCATGAATATTCACACACATAAGAATAAGGAGAATGCGCAATCGACTAACACTAAGAACAAAAATGTCAATCACGACACCGATAACAAAAAATTGAAATGTTCCATTTCTAATGTCGTCGCGCAAGAAGACAGACCTAACGGAGACAGGTTCGCGTTAAAACATTTGGAGCGACGCTTAAAGAAACGAACGCAAACGTATCACGAATGTTTAGAGAAGCAACCAGTTACTTGGGACAGCATGTCTCTGGCGCAAACTGCACGTCCCTCGGGATATGACAAGAAATTTGTCACGTTCAATAAACCGTTTGCTCGCCAGACAGATTTGAAAAGCATTCAGACTGAAACTTTTAACGAGTCGAAGGGTTCTTTGAGCAGACAACATAAATTAAAGCACGTTCAACAGGCGCGACATACACAATCGTTAAACTTGCGTTTAGCCAACGACTTCGAGTCATTTAAAAAGAAGAATTACATGAAATTTCAGGAACGCGAAATGATGGAGGCGAGAACTTTCAATTTTATCTTGTTGGAAGATGAGAAACAGATAAGGGGAAGAAACAGATACAACTTGTCTCCGAGCCGGAAACTATCGGCTGAAGAACGCGAAGCGATAGAGTCGAGAGCTTTGAAAATCTGCAATAAGCAAACTTTGTTAGATAATAAGAATGAGCTGGAAGCGAGGAAGAAATACGGTTCATCGTTAAATTACGAGCGATCGCTGAAGGAAGCCGAGATTTCAAAGACGAAGGACTCGAAGACTTGCAACGATGTTATTTTGTTTGGAAACAGAGAAGAGACAAGAGCAATAACAGGAAACGATTTACCTACAAACTATAAGCGATCGGTCGAAAAATTGGAAGCTTTGGCAGCTTACAGCAAGTTCACTTCTTCGAATTATAATCTGATTGCCGGAAGAAAACACGATTCATCGAAACATGCTGCGTCGTCGATATATGAGGAAGATATCGACATTCCAACGAGAGCTTCTAATCTTTTAAAAGTTGATAATGTCCCTGATGATCGGCTTTCAGAAGCTAGTGCCATGAGCCACTTACTCAAAATACGTGATAATGTAAGCAATGGTTTCGACTTGAGCGATCGTAACGCGAGACGTACGTGTGTATCGTTGAACCTCCGGGAAATCACAAGGAACATCGAATGGACTCTTCAGCCTGGAGGAATCACACTAATTAATAAAAATTTGCAAGGTGAACTTCCGGAAAACGGAAGATTCCGCGAAAGTCAACAACGCGATATCGTCGATAACAATACCACTAGTATGTTACACAACGCTTTTTTCTTCAAGCCCGAAATCATAATGAGGATTTTTCGGCGCGCTCAGACAAGATTTCAGGGATCTTTTTCAAATTTTGAGATTTGGCGGCGGACGGATTTCAACGTGGAGTTTGTTTGCCGAGTGAACAACGAGATGAATGTACAAAATCGAGATTTGTTGTTTGACTTTGATTTTGAATGGATAATGGGAAGTCGAAGTGACCTGAGTCGTTCATTGCTTTTCAATATTAATAGTAATCGCATTGCTGAGGAAGAAAATAATCCCGACTTGTGTATAATATTTATCGGTCGGGATGAATTCCCCAGCGAATCTGAAAGCGCGATTGTCGAAGATTCTGAATCTCAAAGAAGTGCGCGTTTGAGCATCGAAAATGTCCAAGCGACGAACATCTTGATATTTGATGCAAATCATCGTCAAACAGATAATGCGACTACCGATAATTTGTCACTTCAACTTATCATTAGTGTGTTGAGGAACTTTGGTATCGAGATGTCGGAAGAAGATACACGCAATATTTCAATCGAACAAATCGAAGAGTTTGGGAATATAAGTAATGTGACTGTGATTAATGATTTTCCATCTTGTACTTTCAATACGAGCGATATGAACAACGATAAAGGAAATAATATGTACGATAAAATTTCACTAAGTCAAAATATCTATTACAATAATATGGTTGACGATGAAAATAAACAAATTTTATATTTGAGCAATAGTTCTTCAGATAATCCAGATGTATCATCTGTTAAGTCATTAGAACATGTCAGTTACTATGAAGAGCAAGATGAGAAATATTTAAGCGCGATTGATATTAATATTGAAGACAAGATATCCGAGAATAATTCATCTTTCATAAATGTTGATAATGATATAACATCACGATTGTCAAATCTCGGTAATAATAACGATAAAGATGACAATCGTCAGTTCGGCATGTCAAAAAATAGAACTGAGGAAAATATATCTAATGTCTCCTTTGAGAGGTCTATGAAAATATTTTCTCCTAAGATGTCATTTGTGGAATCATACAGTAGCCAAACATCGATATTGAAATCAGCAGACAAGGAGCTTCAAAAAGTGCCACAACTTGCGAATGGGCAAGCTATCTCGGAAAATAAAAGGGCAAGGTCAATTTTAAATTCAGAAATTAAAAATAGCGATACAACTTTACAATCTCATAATGTCGAAGCCTTAAAATTAATAGACGAGACGCAAAATAGCATAAGAAGCGAAGATGAAGGCAGGACTGTATATGGAAAAATAAATGGATTTTTGGCAGGCCAATTTTCTGGAATGTATTCGAGCGATGAAAGTGATATAAATTCCTTATACGAAAAGAATAATAACAGGTCAGAATTGACATCGCATGAAAGTAGTTTGATGGAAGAGTTTTTGAATGATACCGCTGAGAATATTTTTACTTCTGCTTATAACTCTGCGCACCCTTCCAACAATGGAAATTAAAACGTAATTATCTTATAACTTCGGTATGTAATATCTAAACGATGCTCACTACATAAGCATCGAAGAAGTATTTGTTTAATACGATACAGCTGCTGTCAGATTTAAATTATAAAAATAGACGTGACTGAGAACCGATTCGTGTATCTCACATGTAAGTAAAATATTAATTATAAATTTGCCCAATGTATCTTAGGTAACCGATTATTTTTATTGCCATAGGGAATTTTTAAATATATCTTATAATCAATGAAAAGGGAATTTTTAAGTATATCTTATAATCAAAATGCAGACTCACATCGATCAGATTTGTACAAAAAAAGTAGAATTCCGTCTTCCACTGCGAAATCCTGCTAAACTGTTCGACTATGCACTAAAATTGGGTAGTACTAAAATGCAGTACTAAATTATAGATATTAATTAGCCGTCTCCATCCTAATTTTGGTAAAATTCTGCTCACGAACTTCCATCGAATTCACTATGATTCACAATTTGTCCTTAATATTATAAATTATCCGAAATAATAGATACGCTATGTAGGAATTTATTGGTTTCTTTTAATATTATAATTTCATATGTTTAACGCGTAAGAAAAAATTTGTTATGTAAGTTTCATATATATACAAGGTATCTGAAACCTTTCTTGACACAACAGAAAAGTCAAATACCATTTTGCGAAATTCACAATAGTTTTCGAGTAATTAATTATTTTGTCTCAGCAAATTAGCGCTTGGGCCGGCGCGCGACCGTGACTCATGCGAATCGCCGCTCGCTGCGTCCCTCTACCCATAACTACGCTGATCTTGTAACTATGGTAACTATGGCTACGAGACACATCGTAGCTATGGGCGGAGGGACGCAGCGAGCGGCGATTCGCGTATATTACGGTCGCGCGCCGGCCCGAGCGCTAATTTGCTAAGACAAAATTATCAATTACTCGAAAACTATTACGAATTTCGCAAAATGATATTTGATTTTTCTGTTCCGTTTAATCCGTTCTACTTTCCTATGATTTGTGTCAAGAAAGATTTCGGACATTCTATATACAGGGTGTCTCACACTCTCCTTCAGGCATTTTGTAGGGACGTAGAGTGGGTTGATGTGAACATAAAAGTC